CTGCGTCTTTGAAAAGACACATGATCTACTGATATGGTTTGGATCTGTGCCCCGACAAATCTCATGTCAAATTGTAGTCTCCAATGGTGGGAGGTGGCTGGATCATGGGGATGGATTTCTTATGAATGGTTCAGCATAATCCCCTTGGTGCTATTTTCATGGTAGTGAGTGAGTTCTTGCAAGATCTTGTCATTAAAAAGCATGCAGCACCTCCTGCCTTGCTCTCTCTTGCTCCTGCTCCTGCTCCTGCCATGTGAAACACCTCACTCCCTCTTTGCCTTCTGCCATGATTGGAAGCTTCTTGAGGCATCCTTAGAAGTAGAAGCCACTATGTTTTCTGTACAGCCTGCAGGATCATGGCCAATTAAACCTCTTTTCTTTATAAATTACCCAGTCTCAGGTATTTCTTTACAGCAGTGCAAGAGCAGACTAATACAGCTATCTTTCATTTCTAGTCGATTTTAAAATTAGCCTCTTTATCTTTGGTTTTTAGCAGTGGGTGTAGCAGGGTGTGAGCTTCTTTTAATTTATTCAGCTTGGGTTACACAATGCTTCTTAAATCTGTAGCTTGATGTCTTTCATCAGCTTTGGAAAATTCTCAGCCTTTATCCCTTAAATATTGCTTCTGCCCCATTTTTCCTCTCATCTCTCTCTGATCCTCCCATGTTAGATGCTTTTAAGTACAAGCCACACAACTTTTATTCTCATTATTGTAGCTACCATCTTTATACTCAATATGATTCAGACTGGATTATTTCTATGGACCTGCTTCCAGCTTACTAATTTTCTCTTTAAGTCCAATCTGCTGTTAAAACCCATCTGTTGAGTTCTTAATTTCAGAAGTATATTTTGGATCTCAAAATTCCATTTAATTGTTTAATAAATTTAAGTTATCTGCTGAAATTCTCCATCTTGTAAACTATATTCTTGAATATATTAATCACAATTATTTGAAAGTCTATCTGAGACTCCAACATCTAGGTCACCTTTAGGTCTATTTCTATTATCTTGTTTTTCTTGTAGTCTGTTTCTTAGATGCCTGGTAATTTTTAATTAAACTTCACACATCATGCCTCAAAAATTTTAGAGGCTGGGTTCTCTTCTTCCAGAGAGGACTCACCCGATCTTCTTGAAGGCTGCAAACAGCAAAGAAGCACTTCACTTCAATCCAATAAACCCTGAGCTAATTCATGCTGGTTAGCCATCTTTGTGAGGCTCAGACTACTTCTGTTTTGCCTACACTTCTAGGGTGTAGTCCTCCCACAGCCTCAACTGAGAGCCTGGGTTGTTTCCTAAGGTCCTCCTCCTTGGCATATCTGAATGTAAACTGTTAGAAGCAGCCAGGTCACATCTTAAATGCTTTGCTGCTTAAAAATTTCTTTCAACAGATACCCTAAGTCACCACTCTTGAGTTCAAACTACCACAGATCCCTAGGGAATGAACACAATGCAGCCAAGTTATTTGCTACAGTACAACAAAGGAGACCTTGGCTCCAGTTCTCAGTAAGTTCCTTATTTCCATGTGAGACCTCATTAGCCTGGCCTTCACTGTCCATATCACTATCAGCATTTTTAGTCACAAGTATTTAACCAGTCTCTAAGAAATTCCAAACTTTCCCTCATCTTCTTGTCTTCTCCTGAGCCCTCCAAACTCTTCCAACCTTTGCCTGTTACCCAGTTCTAAGGCTGTTTTGACATTTTCAGGTATCTTTATAGCAATGCCCCATTCTTTGGTACCAGTTTTCTATATTAGGTCATTTTTGTGTTACTGCAGAGAAATACCTGAGGCTGGGTAACTTATAAAGAAAAGAGGTTCTGCAGGCTGTATAAGCATGGCACTAATTATCTGCCTGGCTTCTGGTAAGGGCCTCAAGAAGTTTACAATCATGGTAGAAGGCAAAATGGGGGCAGGTACGTCAGTCATATGGTTAGAGCAGCAGAAAGAGGGCAGCAGTTTGTGTAATATTAAATCTAATGCTAAATCTTTGGTAAGCATGGTTACCAGTTCCAGCTCCAAGCAACTCTACAATGTAGATTATTTCCTGTTCTCTGAAGGGGAAGCTGAGGCAACAAGTGGGTAAAACTATTGTCCAAAGTTCCAAAATTTGAGGCAGGGTTGGAATTGAAACTGAATAGTCTAAGCGTGGAGATCTCAGCTTGAAACCATGTTCTAATGAACACAGAGCTTGATGGAACCATGGTCCTTAACCAGCTGGGAACTGCAAATTACATGATCGGAAGGTGGAGGGGCAATTTACCACAAATTGTACCTTAGCAGAGTTCATCCGTACTTCTTTACTCTTGACATTTAAAGATCTTTCACAGTTGATTGTGAAGCAGGCCAACTCCACCTCTCCCTGCTTCCTTTTGAGGGAACCGAGAGAGGGGCCTTTCAGCCTCAATGCTGCAACTTGCCCTCCCTCTCTCTCTGCTAAAATGATAGGAAATGGACTTGCAGGTGGGAACCTTCTCTTCTGCTACTGAGAACACAGAGCAGCCTCTTGCTTGTGAGAAGAGCTGTATAAAGACCTCTAAAATCCCACAGATTTTAAACCTTGAACTGGAGGATTGTCAATACAGTCATTTAACAATCATTTTAATTTAAACAAGATTTGAAGTCAAATGCAAAGCACACATGGTAAAAGCCAACTCTACAAAGAGAGAAAGAAAGGCCCACTTGGGAAGTTCAGAACAGCACTGGTCTCTGAGGAACAGTTTTCATAAGCCTAGAGAAGAATCACAGCCCTGACTTACAGAGGTCAGAAAAATGGTCCTTTTGGATTGGAGGTCCAAACAGCAGAAGTTCCTGGGGCTCTAGAAGGCAGTCAGCTCTCCTATGTACAGAAAGGAGCATGGCTGAGATGCTGTAACTGTCATTTCTACATTTCTGTTCTGATTTGCTGTTGTCATTGATATTATTTGTATTGACAGAGAGGTTGGGCTTCGAAACATTTCATCAGGGGTTTCTAATCAGCCCAAAGATACCAGCTTTTGGACTGGCCCTCTACTCTTCACTGCCTCCTGCAATTATCTTGCCAAAGACATTGATGAGAGAACAGCCTGAGGTTGCTCTTCTGGCTTTACCTTTAATAACTGCCTCACTCCAATACGCTCTTCTCATGTGTCTCCAGCTACAGTGCAATGACTCTCCCACTGTCTCTGCAAACTCAACACGAATTCATCAATTTTCCCACAGAACTCCTGTCTTTTCTATTTCTTTGTTACTCTCATCCCCAGGACTCTGTGCTATATTATTTTATAAGTGAGGTAAAGTTCAGATTAGGAAGAAGATAAACTGCAAAAACCTTAACCGATAACATTGTCTGTGCTTTCACTTTCAGAAATCCTTCAAAGACAATGTAAAAATTCATGCAGAAGACTGGAAATCCTGAGCTCACAGACCCATTCTGAGCCTACATTCCACTCTGCCTGCCAATATTTCTCTGCACCTGTGTCTGGAGGCCTGGAGCGCTGCTCTTCACATCTCTAGTGAGTTTCTACGAGTAAACTGGCAGCAGCAAAAGGCAGTGTACTGTATCAGCGATGACAGGGACAGCCCTCACACAGCCAACAGCCACTGAAGAAAGGGCCCCTCTGTGCTCATGGAGTCCAAGACCCAAGTCTTTATGGATGGAGAAGCTGAGGCCCAGCAAAGTGAAGAGACAGACTCAATCAAAACAGAAACCAGAACTCAGGCTCCTGGCTCACTGTTGACAGGGCTTAATACAGTGTTTACAGATGTTTGGATTTCTTAGAGAACAAAGACATTATATGAATGGTGGCTGCTGGATCACGACAAGAAAGGAGCATTAATTAAGAAGGTTCCAGTTCACCTACAATTGCAAATCTTATATAAAAGAGGATATACCAGTTTTACTTTGTTTTGTTTTTGAGACAGAGTCCCATTCTGTTGCTTAGGCATTCTGTTGCCCAGGCATTCTGTTGCAATGGTCTCTCTGCTCACTGCAGCCTGGAACTCTCCAGGCTCAAGGGCTCCTCCCACCTCAGCCTCCCAAGTAGCTGGAAATACAGGCATGTACCACTGTGTCTGGCTAAGTTTTTAAATTTTTCATAGAGATGAAATCTTGCCATGTTGCCCAGGTTGGTCTTGAACTCCTGGGCTCAAGTGATCCTCCTGCTTTGGCCTCCCAAAGTGCTGGGATTACAGGCGTGAACCGCCATGCCCCGCCTAATTTTAATTCTTAAACACAAAATCTGTCAATACCAAGTGGGATCCCAGCATCCATAATTTTTTTCGTATTTATGTAATATTGATCAAAATTTTATTACGATAAAATGCATATAACATAAAATGTAGCATTTTAATATTTTTTAAGTACGCAGTTCAGTGGCATTAAATACATTCAAATTACAATGAAAGCATCACCACTATCAACTTCTAGAACTTTATCCTCATCCCAAATTGAAACTTCATATCCATGCAACAATAACTTCCCATTCTCCCCTCTCTCCAGTGCCTGGCAACTACTATTGTACTTTCTGTTTCTATGAATTTTACTATTTCAGGTACTTCCTTTAAATGGAATCATAGGATATCTGTCCTTTTGTGCCTGGCTTATTTCACTTAGCATAATGTTTTGAAAGTTCATCCACATTGTAGTATGTGTCAGAATTTCCTTCCTTCTTAAGAATGAATAATTCCATTGTATGTACATATCATGTTTATACATTCATCCATCAATGGGCATTTGGGTTGTTTCTCCTTTTTGGCTATTGTAAGTAGGACTGCAATGAACATGAGTGTGCTGATGAAGATTTTAAAAACACAGGAATGCAGCCTTGTGACTCATATCTACATGTAGACACGGCTGAAAGAGTAAATAGGTGTGCCATAAGTACCCATTCCACATAGAAGATCTACATCACCTTGATATCCTCCACCCAAATTAAACAGTCAATATCTGTAAAGATCAGTAGTGACCTCATAAGACCAAAGAAGTAAAAGAAAGAGGAGGAGGAAGAGGAAGAGGAAGAGTAGAGCACTTCAGCAGCACATACACTAAAACTGGAACTGGATATGGAGAAGATTATCATGGTCCCTGTCCGAGGATGACATGCAATTAGGTGAATTAATGCAACAGAAAATTAAATATCGCATGTTCTCACTTATAAGTGGGAGCCAAGTCTTGGGAACACACAGACATAAAGATGGGAACAGCAGACATTGGGGACTCTAATAGGAGAGAGGGAGGGAGCGGGGGGCAAGAGCTGATACATTGCCTATTGGGTACTTTGTTCACTATCTGAGTGACAGGATTAAATGAAGCTCAAACCTCAGCATCATGTAATATACCTTGTAACAAACCTATACATGTACTCTCTGAATCTGAAATAAAAATGGAATTTTTTTAAAAAACAAGAGTAGGAGAAGGAAGGTAGGAAGAAGAGGAGGAAATTAAGAAACGAAGGAGAAAAAAGGAAAAGAGGAAAAATCCTTGACATTTGCCTAAAATCATGGGAAATTTTGAAGTCAGTTCTTGAAAACCTGATCCTGGTACCTGATGCACAGAACAATAGCCCCTGGGTGTCATCCATGCAACTCCTACCCAAGAAGGTTCAAATATCATGAACCCACTCCAGGAACTATTAGCTACAGACTAGAGGCTTTGAATAGGTTGAGTCAATTCTAAGGGAAGATGCATTTAGCTCTAAGAAAAACTCACAGAGGTTTACAGGGTCCTGTTCTACCTACATCTTAAAACATTTAAGCCCTCTGATCTAACTCATTACAGGTTTAGAAAGACAGCAGGAAACACACATTGGTGTTTCTCCTTTACTCCACCTCCTCTTTCCTTTCATTTACCCAGAGTTAGATGAATTAACTCCAAGATTCTACCTAGAGGCTCCAAACGACTACTTTAGCGCCAGGCATGCTGGATAATGGCTATAATCCCAACGCTTTGAGCAGGGAGAATAGTTTGAACCCAGGAATTCAAGATCAGCTTGGGAACCATGGCAAGAGCCCATCTCTACAAAAAAATAATTTAAAAAATTAGCCAGGTTGACTGGGCACAGTGACTCTTGCCTATAATCCCAGCACTGTGGGAGGCCGAGGTGGGCAGATCGCCTGAGGTCAGGAGTTCAACACCACCCTAGCCAAGATGGTGAAACCCCCTCTACTAAAAAAATAAAAATTAGCTTGGCGTGGTGGTTCATGCCTGTAAACCCAGCTACTCGGGAGGCTGAGACAGAAGAATCCCTTGAACCTGGGAGACGGAGGTTGCACTGAGCCAAAATCGTGCCACTTCACTCCAGCCTGGGTAACAGAGTGAGACTCTGTATCTAAAAAAAAAGAAAAAAAGAAAAAAAGAAAAAAAAAATTCAGCCAGGCATAGTGCTGCACATCTGCAGTCCCTGCTACTCAGGAGGCTGAAGCGGGCAGATTGCTTGAGCCCAGGAATTCGAGGCTGCAGTGAGTTATGATCACGTCACTGCACTCCAGCCTAGGTGACAGAGGCCCTGCCTCTAAAAATAAAAGAAAATAAAAGGCTATTATAGAACAAATAACACAGTACTGTCAGACTCACTTTGGTAGCAAATACATCAAAATACAGGGCATTTTGAAGGGCCTATTTCTGTGCTTAAAGTTGTCAAGAGCTTAGCAAACTCAGTGCAGGCCTGGATGGGTCATCGCAATTTGCTGGAATAGTATATGGATAGGATGATTATGCTCATAAGCATGCCAGCAGCAAGGGTTAGGGCTCACATACTGTAACCTTTGCTCAAGTGAAGCTTTTATTTTTATTATTACTTTTTATGTTGAAGCCGTTGCAGACTTTGTTTTCCTGGACCATTTGAGAGGAAGTCACTGGCATGATGCTCATCACCCTGACTAGGGAAGGCAGTGGGAGCCAGAGGACTTGCTCTTGAACACACAATAAGATGTTCGTGGGACTCTGCGAAAATAAATGCAGGAACCCTGAGAGCAGTCAAAAATCAATGAGTGTATAATTGTCACTGTTGCCCTGTTTTTACCTCCACCCTATTGCAATATAATTGACATCTGTAAATGATCTCCAAGTTACATCTTTTCCAATTCAGCTTTCTCTGAAACCCTATAGTAATCTTTTTTTTTTTTTTTTTTTTTTTTTTTAAGACAGACTCTCACTCTGTCGCCCAGGCTGGAATACAGTGGCACAATCTCAGCTCACTGCAACTCCCACCTCTGGAGTTCCAGAGATTCTCCTGCCTCAGCCTCCCAAGTAGCTGGGATTACAGGCGCATGTCACCACACTCGTCTAATTTTGGTATTTTTAGTAGAGATGGAATTTTATCATGTTGGCCGGGATGGTTTCAAACTCCTGGCCTCAGGTGATCTGCCCGCCTCAGCCTCCCAAAGTGCTACCATTAATCTTAAAGGAGTTAATTTGCCAGCTCAGAAACCACTGGTGTTTCCCTCGTGCCAAAATCCTCCCAAATAAAGCTGCAGTGGTTGCTTGGCATTTAACGCTGTTCATGCCAGAGCTCTAAACTACTCTGGCTCTATGAAACAGAGGTTGTGTAGGGTAGGGATTACCTCTTACCTCTTAGGGATTAGTTCTTACCTCTGAAACCTAGTTTTACCATTTGGCAGCTGTGTGGCTTTCAGCAAGTCTCTAAACCTCCGGGTGCCTCAGTTTCCTTACCTGTTAAATGGGGATAAAAATAGGCCCTACCTCACAGAGCTTTCACTAGAATTAAATGTATAATATGTAAGACACTAAGAATGGTGTAAGCAGTGCTGGGCATGGTGGCTCACACCTATAATCCTAGTGCTTTGGGAGACCAAGGCAGGAGGATGGCTTGAGGCCAGGAGTCTGAGACCAGCCTGGGCAACAACACTACAAGACCCTGTCTCTAAAAATAAAAAATAAAAAAATTCATGGGGCGTGGTGGCCCATGCCTGTTGTCCCAGCTACTCAGGAGGCTGAGGTGGGAGGACTGCTTGAATTCAGGAGTTTGAGGCTGCAGTGAGCTGTGATCTCATCACTGCACTCCAGCCTTTGTGACAGAGCAAGACACTGTCTCTTAAAAAAAAAGTTATTATCTAATGTCACCCTACTTCAAGCACCCAAGAGGCAAACCTGACCTGTCAGTTCCTTAAATACCATCACTGGGTTCTATTACCGCATCGGCTCTTCTGCTGCACGGACTGCCCAGTGCCGTCTCACAATTTGGTCCTTACCCACTGATGTGGTTTGGATTTGTGTCCCCGCCCAAATCTCATGTTGAATTGGAGGGGCGGCCTGGTGGGAGGTGATTGGATCATGGGGGTGGATTCCCTCATGCTGTTCTTGTGATAGTGAGTACATTCTCACAAGATATGATGGTTGAAAAGTGTGTGGCACTTCCCCCTTCGCTCTTTGTCTCTCCTGCTCCACCATGGTAAGATGTGTGTGCTACCCCTTCACCTTTCAGCATGACTGTAAGCTTCCTGAGGCCTCCCAGCCATGCTTCCTGTTAAGCTTGTGGAACTGTGAGTCCATTAAACCTCTTTTCTTTATAAATTACACAGTTTCTTTATAGCAATGTGAAAACAGACTAATACACCGTATTTCAAGGTCCAGCTCAAACCTTATCAACCCCATACACCTTTTCTTGCTCCCTTTTGTCCCTCAGGAATCCCTTTGCATGAATCTCATACTGTTTGATGTTACGGTTACTGTAATCAAGCCTTTAACAAGAGAGAACATAAAAGTACTTTGTATGTTGTAAAGCAAAACACAGATGTGATTTTTTTTTTTTTTTTGAGACAGAGTCTCACTCTGTAGCCCAGGCTGGAGTGCAGTGGCACCGTGTCGGCTCACTGCAACCCTCCGTCTTCTGGGTTCAAGCAATTCTCCTGCTTCAGCCTCCCAAGTAGCTGGGATTATAGGTGCCCACTACCACGTCTGGCTAATTTTTACATTTTTAGTAGAGATGGGGTTTCACCATGTTGGTTAGGCTGGTCTTGAACTCCTAACCTCAGGCGATCCACCTGCCTCGGCATCCCAAAGTGCTGGGATTAGAGGCGTGAGACACCATGCCTGGCCAATGTGATTTTACTGACAATAGTGATACCATCTTATCTCCACCCCAGTACTATGTGTGGCATGAGGTCAGGGATCACATCTGTTATCCGTTTTTCCCATAGTGCTTTCATTATCAAATTTGTCAGCTTTTTTTTTTTTTTTTTTTTTTTCACTTTAGGATGGGTTCTTACTATGTTGACCAGGCTGGTCTGAAACTCCTGGGCTCAAGGAATCCTCCCACCTCAGCCTCCCAAAGTGCTGGTATCACAGGTGTGAGCCGCTGTGCCCCACCAAACATTTTCAATGGATGAGAAAATGATAACTACTGTAGGGTGAGTTGGTTTACTAGGTGGGTTTTCTGTAGAGAGGTCACCGAGGTAATGGAAAGTGTGATGCAGATGTGTTATGGGAAAATGCAGAATATGTTCAGATCATGGCTGTTTTCCATGAGGTCACTTCACAAAGCTCCAAGAAACCAATGGGTGGGCAAGTCAGGAGGCTGTTCAGCCTCTCTCAAGGCTTTTTGAGCCTTCTTTTCAACTTAAACCAGGTAACTGCTCCAGGCTTTGCTTCCCACATTCTATTTCAAACCTTCTCTCTCACATCTAGTTTCCTGGTGTCTACATGTGTCAGTTACCATTCTGAGCTGTAGGCAACAGAAACTCTGTCTTACTCAACCTAAAGAAAATGTACTAGAAGTATAGTGGAGGCTCACAGAACAAAAGAAGCCAGACTGCAGGCTTGGAAAAACACTGGAGTTAGGTAGGAGAGTTCTAGAGCCTAGGCATCAGGAGCCACAGCTGCCATTAGGCCAGAGTGAGCCAGTAACTACTCTTCCTAGAAGTTGTGTTCCTTACATCTTTGACTCACCGGCCAAGTCAAAGTCCTAAGGGAGAACATGTGATTGGCCAGGCTGGGTTGCAGGCTCATGCCAGGCTGCAGTGGGAATGGAGGTGGAAGATCTGATCCTTTTGATTTCTGTCCTAGGAAGCAGGGACTATGTCCTATCAGAGCTATACACAGCAAGGTAAAGACGACTCCCTAAAAGGGAAGGAGCTTTCAGGGGGTCACCTTGACTCGAGAAGGGGAACTGGATG